CCTAGCTTTCAGGGAACAACTTTATGGTTGAAACCATTTTTTTCTATGTTTGTTATAAAGCCTCATTGGATGTTGGTCACATCTGCGTTATATCATGTTATATCCAAATTTAACACGACTAATGTCAATATACCTGGATACCAAGGTAAGACATGGTAAGACCATTTGGGGATACCCCTCCTAACCAATCTCATTCCAGTGAAATCCACAATCCAAAAACGTTCATCCAATGATATGCTTTTGAGTCATCTCAACAAACCATTTTTAAGTATAGTTGAAAAAACAGAAGATATTTGAAAGCTCCAACCGCAAGTTGACGCACATAAATTGGTGAACTAGTTAGTCTTCGAATTGTTGGGTTTATGGAGCCATATTACTGTAGTATTCATATCTGGTTGGTGGTTTCAACCGCTCTGAAAAATATGACGGTCAGTTGGGATGATGAAATTCCCAACTGAATGGAAAGTCATAAAATTCCATGGTTCCAAACCACCAACCAGTCATATGTATTCATGGGGTTTATAAACCACCAAACACTGGGGGGGACCTCACCTTGCAACACAGGTGACGCGACGCACCCACCTCCCGTGTGGGGCTGGAGGCCCGCGGGGTGGCCAGCACTGTGACCAGCTGGGAAGACGAAGCACCTGGCCATGGAGGAGTTCACCAACCCAGGTCGGTTATCCCCACATTAGTCCGTTGGGTTTGATGAAATATGGGATTCAATGGATTTAGATGGGATATTCATAGGATTTAAGAGGACCTAGAACCAACTATTGATCTATTGGATGAATATGGAGGTCTCGTTTTTAGTGGGGAGTAACCCCCAAATGAGTCAAGTCCTTATATAGACCACTTTAGTATTGAAACCTATGGTTTTGGGGATCCTAGGAAACCTTCAAATGACCTGAAAACACTACCAACAACAAAAGATAGTAGCTTATGAATCATCTAGTCCCATTTTCTATACGTATAGTTTATATCCCTGGGTAGAATTAGGATACCCAGGGATAGTCCACTTAAAGCTGCGGGTACAACACGTGCCAAGTAGGGGCAAGCTTGGCCATGGGCATGTCCGTAGGGGTGAAGCACCAAGTACCAACTGGTGTTTCTCAATGTGGAAAAAAACAAAGTGTACTTGTATGTCTACAATCCATCCACCGGCTAATTGTTTGGCCAATCTTGGATACTCCGCAAAATTCAGGTTCATTCTGAGCTCCTTTTGAGGCGTGTTACAACCTCCTCATATCTTGTGGCTTGATAGAAATATTTATGGTCCATCAATGTCCCTAAATTGGAGCTACTGTGCCATCAAGATCCAGCGCATGGATCTTCAGCCTGATGGCAATGGCTATGGTTATTTCCCATACAGTATCACCTCACTTTGGGACAATCAAGAGAGCATCAACCGCTTCATGTGTGGTACAGTACTCCATGATGGGCTGAATTCCACATAATTAAAACAGAGGAGTTTCACCACATCCCAAAACCAAATACAAGGGCGGGCAAGCGTGTAAATACAGTAGTCAAATGATCATAAATGACATTGTTTTCCCCAAAAAAACTGGTTTGGAGCAACCCTCTAAACCAGAAGACACTGGTTTGTGCTTTCAATCCAACTCAGAAAAAAAAACAGTGAATTGGGATGACGATCCCATTTCTACGGTTGAAAATAAAACATAGGAACTACCTATAGACATACAAATAATATCAGTGTCTCCCCAAACCCTCGAAATCTCAGATGATTGGGGTTTGCTGTCCCTTCATTTTCTAAAGGGATCATCATAATTCAGTTTCACTGGACCCGTTCTTAACCGACCAGTGTGGAATGACAGAGAGCGGATTTTGCTTCTCAGATCTTCCCAGTTCCAATGGTGCCCCCCCCAAGTTATGTTTGTTGCTTTATAAACCATAGAAACTAGTTGGATACATCTACCATAAACCCGGCAGTTATTGGACTTACATACCAACTTAGCGAACTCTTATTATATATTATCATATATCATCATATATTATCATTCGTCTAAAATCCAATAAGAATCATTACCGTATATTAACATGGCTTTTTGATGCTTTTTACTCGCCGGGCAACCCGGTTGTTTTGTTAAAATCCGGACACCTACGCGGAAGATGGGTTGCACCGGTGAGCCCCAAGGTGCTGCGACCGCTGGAACCTTGGAAAGGCGGGGAACCAATGTGGGGATGTAACAAATAACTATAACTAAATACTTAAGTTAAGTTACTAACTGATGGATACTAAAATAGTTCACTATTAGTTCACTTATCTCAGTTATAACCAACAGTATGGAACATCAGAACGTTTTTTTATAAAGTTTGGTCATGATATCCATGAGGAATCCGTCGCGCCGGGATTCGGTGGGATCAAGCGGTACCTCAATCGCTGGATGGGTTATTATACAGTATATATATATATTATTGTCATTATTATTTTTAATATTATTATTATTATTGTCATTTCATGGAAAATACATGGTTATTAAATGTTATTGATATGCTAACATTATGGCTTATATGATGTTATATGTTATGATGGTTATTAATATATTATATATTCTATAATATATGGTGTTATTATGGATGATTTATAGGTGTACCCCCAGGTTTGGAAACCTCCAGATTCTGAGGCGTGTAATCATGGGTTTACAGACGGTAAACAACCATGGAACTGATTGATGGGCCAGTAGTTTCACTCAGAATGCCACTAGTGACAGCTTCACTAATTGGTGGTTTCAACCCCCCTGAAAAATATTATTAGTCGGATTGGATCATCATCCCGACTATTGGGGAAAATAAAAAATGTTCCAAACCACCAACCAGTTCAAATTGTGGGCTGTTCAAACACGAAAAACAAGAAGTCTTGGAACATCATCTTCGAATTGCTTCCAAATACCAGAAAATGGATATCTTAGAAAAACAATGAACAAGAATGAACAAGATATACTCTGGTTGGTGGTTGACCTACCCCTCTGAAAAATATGAAAGTCAATGGGAAGGATGACATCCCATATATTATGGAAAATAAAAAATGTTTGAAACCACCAACCAGTACTGCTAATAGGACTTTCCCCCTTGCTGCCCCATCCGCGCCGTCCCCAGAGACACCTTCAGACTGCCCGGAGGGTTCAAGGGCACACTCTGAGGGAGCAGTACAGGGCCTAAGCGCCAGAAGCTGATTGATTCAGGCAACGAACATTAAGATTTACCCCCTGGTTAGGTCAAAATAGCTATTAAAATGGCCATGTATAGTGAGTTTTCCTATTAAAAATGGTGATTTTCCATAGTTATGTTAGTTTACCAGAGGGTAAACGAATTCACACAACAACACATGTCACGATTTTCAAGTCCGGACGTGGGTGGTCCAGTGGTCCATCCTCTGCTAGCTCCACAGATCATTCCCTGCTGCATCCATTTTCTGCCCATGCGACACACGCACTGCGAATGAAGCCCCGAGAGAATCAGCGGAAAATCACAGCGTGTCAAACTGCTCTGTGAATGATTGTACTTCCTGATGTTTTAATGAGGTGTATCAGGGTGTCTTTTCTGTTTTCTGCAGGATTTCTGCCAAAACATGGAACATACCATCCACATACCATGGAATTTCAGCTTCCTTCGATTCTCCCACAAGTCCCCGCAAGACAGAACAGCCAGTCTGTGTAGTCTGTTGGTCTTGCATCCCGATGACCTAGCCCCGATCTGCGGAATTCTCCCAGAATTCCAGAGTCATCCCGTGAAAGCGGCTGATGCTGAAGTGGTTCCCATGGCAAATCTTGGAGATCCATATCCTGTACCCTCTGGATATTTAACATAGCCATGGAAAATGGCCCATTTATAGATGGTTTACCTCTTTAAAAAGGTGATTTTCCATGGCTATGTAAAATAACCAGATGGTAACTATTACTCAAAAGTATAGCGGGAGATACTTGCTGCAATTTGGGGTTGTCAATGGATATGATATAGCTCTGGTAAGAATCCCCATAAATTGGGCCTAATATGCTTACTATTCTTACTATGACATACAGTATATATAATACCTACTTATGTAGTGTAACTGCACCCGCTTGTTCCGCCATGGAATTGAAGTACTAAGCTATCCATCCAAGTCAAGGACCATAACCCTTTGGAGAAATCAGAATGTCGTGAAATTATCCCAAATCGAAATGGAAAACATGCCGATTTAGCCAAATGGGTTTTTAGTTTGGATGTACCCCTAAATGTTCCATGCATCTATACTATACCGCAGCGAACAATCTCTTCCCAGAGCACCCGCCGTCGGTGTGTAGACATGCTGACACAAAACAGGGAGAATTCAACGATGCAGGGAACCAATATGAGCTAATCAAATGTTGCCTTCTGAATCACTGACGTATGTGGTAGGGCAATGATCCTCGATTTCTATCATTTTTTTGTTCAGTTGGGAAGTTCAAAAAGGGATTTGATGACACAATAACGTAGTTACCCCCCCAATCTTTGCAGGGATGCCATCTTGTCAACCAGGAGAATTAACTTTGTGGATCCTATTGTGAAAATACCCGCAAAACAGAGGCTCTGCATCGAAGGAAAATGCATTCGAATAACCACAGCGTGATTCAAACCTCTACAAAGAGCATCTCTACCTCATTTACACCAAATATCACGTAACAAATAATAAATCAATCCCAACCAAATCAGACACCCTAAGATACCTCTAAGAACAAAATTGCTGTAATTGATTACCCGCAACCATTATCTAACCCCAACATCAACCAGCAACAAAAATTGCAAATCTCCATGTTCTGCCATATCGGCTGGTCCCCGTTTACGCTACGGGTACTTTACGATTGAAACCCATTACAACCTTACTGTATTGTCTTTTAACAATTCTAAAATTAATTTGCTGACCATGCAGCTCGGTTTGGCAACCAGCCAGTTGAACATTACTTTTGCTCAACAAGAGGTGCTAAAAATCGGTGCGAACCACTTTGTTTTGCTGCTTGTTTCATGGGAACTTGATGGGAACCACGTCCATCAGAACATCGCTGAGTTCTCACTGGACGTCGCGCCTCGAATCTGCACAAGTTCCGAGAGCTTCGGCGTTCTGTTCAGCCATGGCCTTGGAAGGTGAGGTTCACTGGCAAAAAAATGACTGGCTCATGTAAGCCTCTGCAAATCTTAGATAATCTTAGATACCTAGGAAAAATATGCAAACATACTCAATTAGCTGGCTAGTCCATATAATTGCCCATTTCTGGGAAAGGTGTTGTTTTGATACAAGTCTAGCGATGCTGTCACTTGCACGGCTCACCATTTTCTTCAGTTGTTTTTTCTTTTGAGCCGTGGGTTTTAGAGCAAAGCTTCCGGGAACAACCAATTTCTTGACACGCAACGAAATATCCGTCATTGTATGTCATTAATGATTCTCTGGATCATACATGCACACATGCATCGTAGCTTTACCGACATCCATCTCCCCCGCAATAAACATCTATCTACTGTATAGATCTGTATAGGCTGTATAGGTAATTTTTGCCCCCATGGATTTGGGCAACCATCACAGGGCTTGGCTGTTGTAGTTTGCCTATATGTGTAAACATGTCATTGTCCAAACGTGGGACATACATGGACGTAGCTCATTGCAGCTCATTGTAGTGGGGCAAAACATTTCAATCACCATGCTTTTTGTTTACTGTTTGTTCCAGGAATTTTCACACAAACTGATATACTGCCGATTTGATGTTTCCATTATTCTTGGATAAGTTCAATCCCAATGGTGAGGAAATCCCATAAAACACATAGCCAATTTTATTGATCCCAGCAAGAAAAGACAACTATATAGCTGGTTAGGCTAAGATATCCTCAAGGTTTAACCAGGTCAAAATGTGGAGAGTGTGAACCTCCACAATTTGCATATCAAACCCTACAAAAAAATATATATATATATATCTATTTATTTATATATATAAACCTCCGTCAAAAGGTAGACAAGTACAGTAAAATCCCAGCAAGGTAGTGGCAAATGAATTGTCTATCTGTTTGGGTGTTACTACATGTATAAATAACAATATATGTCAACCACCAAAAGTCATGGGGTGGTGGGTCCGAGTTACGAAAGCGGTTGGCCCGGACAAGTGAGGAAAAGCTGATGACGAGCTCGAGTAATTCCCACATACCTCGAAGGTCACTGGAGTTCTGCGATTTCACCATTGGGCAGGATGGTGCCCCCCAGTTATAAGTTGGTTTATGGTTTGTATAAATATAAACGTTTCTAATGGTTTATAAACCCCATGAAAACTATATATATATATATCACCTATAAACCATCGTGAAATTGGAGTTATATAATTCTAAATAGCTATCGAACAGGGGCACCACGTGGTGCCTTTTTTGGGGGAACTTGGCTGCTTTTGCCAACAACATTTTGGGCATATAGCTGACTAAGCTATGATGAGCTATGATGAGCAAACTCACACGCACCACCATGTAAGCAACATATTGCAACATCTAAAGAATCCATCAGTGAGGACAAAAGTTCACGAGAGAGCAAACAAATAGATAGAAGTGAGCCAGCAATGCAATTCAGAACATATGTAATATCATATATTTAACAACAAATATACTATATAATTAATATTGATAGTTGTGGGATGTTGTGGGCATGATTGGTATCAAATCATCTCGTCCACTGCGGTTTGGCCAGGCTGCAGCACTCTGAGCTCTTCTTCTGGGGGATTGTACCTGACCGTTGAGGGATTGAGGAATGCCTCGCTCGGGTGTCAAACATGGCAAACTTGGAAATCCCCGAACGAAATGGAGGTTTAAATCGAGGTTGAAATCGAGGTTTACTGGGAAACACATTGATAAATGATGGATTTTCCAGCATGCCACGTTTGATTACCGCAAAGTATCTTGATCTATATATAGCCAGTGAAGATGTTGATGTGTTAAGCACTCGGTTTCAAAATTCTGAGACACTGCCACACCTATGCAGGTTGCTGGTTTCAATCCTATATTATCTTGGGAACTCCAGCCCATCTCATGTGTTTTTTTGTTTTAAACTTCATGTTCACCATATTTCAGTGAACACACAAAAATGAAACAACAAATCCCTCCAATATTAATAAACATGTTACATGTTCAATAAATCTATATACTTGATAAATCTCGATCCAGCTTTGAGGGGAACCCCCAATTCAGTACTGTTCAAGATCCTATGTCATTTTATTTTACTGGCTGCTTAAAAAAGGTATGCCAAGTGTTGTGGGCTTCAAAACCAATCAGCCATCATCTATAAAATCTATCCATCATATTCGTCATGCCTCCATATCTGTTTGATAGTTAGAACATGTTGATCGCACCCCAAAAAAGGGTTAAATTCCATTCACATCCCATTTTTCACTGAGTATGAAAGGATCATAGTTATCCATACATCATACTTCATCCATATCCTTATCCATATCTTGCTCCACGAGTTTCATGGTTAAAATCGCCCTAGTGGCTGACCAAAAAACAATGGCTACGTAACGTTGATGCCAGTGGCTGAGGGAAGTCGTCCACCAGATCAATGATGAAAACACAGTTCCATTCCTCGAGACATAAGTGATGAACCCTGCCAGGGCTTGGAAGATGAGTGGTAAAACCACTCAAATAGATTTAAAAATGGTTGATTTCAGGGACCAACTGTTGATTTACCAAAGGTTACATATTTGATGTATTTCATGGGATGTCTCATTGGATGTCACGGTATTTGGTGACTTGTTCGGATCACAGGAAGGGATATTTCATAGGATTTGGAGATTTTTTTGGGATTCAATGGGATGTATCTGGATGACAATAATTCACTAACCAGGAAGGGCTCCCTGCGCGTTATATTTGTTGGTTTATAACGTCATCTAACTAGTTTGATACGTTCATCATAAATCCTAGTTAGTATGGTTAATAAATCTTAGCTATCTACAGGACCCTATCCGCTTCTTGTATCTTCATCACACAATTACCTGAACAGGATCAACCTCACTACGAATACATGAAGAATAGCATTAAAATGCATTAAACATGTAAGTCAAGTTTATCCTCCAAGTATGGAGAATGGGTATGTTTATCACACAGTTGCCTATCAAGTGTGATTCTGGTGATATCTGGGAGATGTTTCATGAGGCTTTCATGGGGATGTATGTAAACATCATCAATACTTGGAACATCCGAAAATCCGCATTTCTCAATTTCATGACCGAAAAAAATCGAAAATCGTTGACCGAAAAAGGACATCTTCCATCATCCATCGCCAACAGTGGGTTGACCTTTTTATTTCGGACATCGCCACCATCGAACCGTGGGACTCCCCTGAACCCAGGGACTCCCCTGATCCAATCGGAAAGGATCGGAAACCTGAGATTTCACCGAACAGGGGATTCCCGGGAACTTCATGGTTTTGTCAATCGGATTTACACCAGCAGCCGGGAAATTTACGAAAACGCGAGGCCGTGAGACTAGAAATGAATCTAACAAGAACAGCTGTTTTTAGAAGTGGTTTGGTTTAGTTAAGGTACTTTTTTTGTGTTCAACTGTGTCCACAAGAACCTACATCTCCGTGCTATTGGTGTTGGTGAATTGCCCGATTTTAGGTCAGCTAGGGAAGTCGCTTCAATCGACTGTTAATTGGAGTGAGCGAAACTCTTGTGCGATGCGTGTGAACACAAATGAAGCGCATTTTCTCCCGGTTTGTTGTGGTGATGACAGCTGTAGTTTGCTTCGAAATCTTCGAAATATAGAAAGACAAATGATATATCAATACATAATAATAATATGTAACAATACATTATACATATTATGGATAGTCAAGCGTCAAGGGACTAGACAACGTTTAGACCACCACACCCGACCCAGCGATTGCAAACTCGGCGATCATGCCGGTGTGTCGCCCGTGTGCGATGCTGGACTCATGAGTTCTTTTTGCCACGTCCATTGTCTTTGCCCTTGGGCGTTGCGTTCTCCGCAAGTAAGGCTCGCAGCGCCGCGTTGCCATTCGTCACGGGTTTCAAGTCTTTCTCCTTCTTGCAACTTGCCGCATGCTGTCGCGTTCAACAGCTTTGTGGCTGGCGCATGCTCTCGCCACAGTTTCCTATAGGATCAATCATGGCTTATAAGTTGGACTATAAACCCCATTGACGATAGTTATAAGTTATAAGTACCATAAACTATAGTTATTGGAGTTATAAACCAATTTAGTTATCTAGGGGCCCCAGTTGTTGTTGTTGCTGTTGCTGCTGCTGCTGCTGTTGTTGTTGTTGTGGTTGCTGTTGCTGTTGCTGTTGCTGTTGCTGTTGCTGTTGTTGTTGTTGCTGTTGTTGTTGTTGTTGTTGGTGTTGTTGTTGTTGTTATGAGGAACCTATTTTCACTAATGTTCAACAAGGTGTTTTCTGTTCGAAATTGGAAAAGCATCATTGGTTTCCCGACAATAAACACGACTATCCAAATGACTTAAGAAACTACTATTGACCGAGATCGAATTCTTGGAAACCATGGAATTAAATGATGTTCAAGGGGGATACGTATTAGTATATATTGATATTATTATGTATATATATATATGTGTGTCTAATGTATATATGTATATGTTTAATGTATATATAATGTATATATAATGTAAATATAATGTATATATCATGTATATATATCATGTATATATCATGTATATATCATGTATATATCATGTATATATCATGTATATATCATGTATATATAATGTATATATAATGTATATATATATAATGTATATATAATGTATATATAATGTATATATAATGTATATACCATAAACATGTGTATTATCAAGGACACCCCATCTTCATACTAACCATTGTCAACAATTATTCATCGTTAGTTAGGGTGTGTCAAATCTGCAACGAGTATTAACACATATAAACCCAACTTATCAACTATTGCTAACCATGCTGAACTATGATTAGCCAACACTAACCAGTACTAAGCATTGCTGAATGAAGAACCCAGTCCCCTGTCATCGAGCAACCAGCCCTTTGGCTGAGTGGATGGTCGACAAGGTCACAACCTCATGGCCATGTTGATGAACGAATCTACCAGGGTTGACATAAAAAATGGAAAGAGGTACATTTAAAGTAGCCTCCAAAGGCGAATTAGAAAAATGAATCTTCTTTTCTTGGTGGAGATTTACCTCTGTTTCTTTTGGGGGATGCCCACATATACTAAATTATAATGTTGTTGGTACTTGATAAAGTCGAATCTTGGTAAACCGCTTCTTTGTTGGTAGGTAGCACTTAACTACTGAATCAACCAGGCTTTACGAATCGTGGGTTGACAACATGTTCCCTGTAATTAAACAGAAAAGGATTAAGCCAGCAAGAGACCGGGCATCACCAATACATGGAGATGCTGAATTACATAGGCACCATATTGGAATGTCTTAATTGTCCAAGCGTTGCAAAAACTGATTCTTACCAACTACACTCTGGTTTGCTTCCCCTCCTGCAAACTAACATAGATGTGGAAGTCCCATGAAACCTCACCATTGGCAGATTATCGTTTAGGGAAACCATGGGTTTTCCACATATGTTTGTATGTTTACCTTAGCGTAATCAATTATCCATTGCTGGTGGCTAAATGGGATCAACCTTCCCAAGTAGCAGTTCATCTGACGTTCTAATTGACGGTTTTATCTGGCATATTCCGACATTCTATCTGACATACATTCTGACATTCTGTCTGTCATGCATTTATTCTCACGTCATTGACGTGAGATTTTGTCTGACATGTATGCTGACATTCTATTGGACTCAGCCAGATGGGATATTATCAATGTTTAATGCATCCAGCCATTGAGAGCTCATGGGGATTTGGTGGAACATAGTGTAACCTAAATAATCCCACCTCCAACATATTTGAACATTGCCAAGAAACCGTGGTTTAATTAATGGGATTGGGATGATACAAATGGGGTGTTGAATCTTAAGGGAAATGGGATCATGTCCTTTTCGGTAATCATCCATTGTGGATAGTTAAGTTGTTTTACCATCATAAATCCAATATTTGGATTATCCTAGGAGATTCCTTTTACTTGGAGGATCATCCCACTGAGTGACTGGTTAGTAAGTAAGGTCACAACCCAGGTATATATATATACATATGTATTATATATATATGTACATATATATATGTATATATATATATTGTATATATGTAAATATATACATATAATTACATATATGTATATGGGTTAACCCCACTGAATGGGACTTGCGTTTGGCTTATTTTCACCACTTATCCGTGGGATGATCCTCCGTGCCCACGGATCCAGAATCTGTGGCTCCCAACATCGTTTTTTTCTTCGCTGCTGGGTGCTGAAAGATTCATTTCCTCCAAGGCATCTGTCATCCTGAGCCCAGGAGACTCCAACGAGTCATGTTCGACTAGGTGATGATTGCTGACTGGGCCCAAGTTTGGAACACCCCAACGAAACATATAAGTGACAAATATCAAGTCATTTGAAGAAGTAATTATATAAAAAGTCTTCTTCTTGGCATTCAAAACAAAACACATGATTTTGTTCGCAAAACATCAGGGGTTTACTTCATGGTATATATATATATACTGTGGATGTTTTCCTATGAAGAAATATAATATGATATAAATATATATATGTGCTATTATATCAAATATGTAATATAGATATATACATATGATCCCAGTGGAAATTCGATTTTCGGAAAATCCCAGGGGGATTATATATGTATAATATATATATATATATTTATATTTATATTTAACCTATGGTATTCATTCATTCATTTCACATCTACATATTCACTTTCATATTCATATACATATTCATTCATTACATATTCTACATATTGATTCATTTACATACATATATATCTACTTGACAGACCTGTTCCGTTCGAATGTTTCGGCCACAGTCGACCTGTCCCAGTTCTCCACGAAGTCTTCAAAGACCAGGAAGTCTTCCAGGCGCTCCTCCGATCCCAAATTGGAACTGGGAGGGCCATAGTCCCCCTACTATAATAATGGTATATTATATCTAATGCCAACACCGGATTAATAAACCCCCCCCCCCACCAGGTAGGTAGGTAGGTACCTTCTAGCTAGTTTTCTTGACTACCCGTAAATAAACGGCCCTGAACCATAAAATTCTGAACCATAAAACTTTGGATATGGCTTACGTCAATTAGATCTTAATAGAATTCCATTGGATTTGTTAAAATTTCATGGATCAGAAAGGTGGTTGATTAATCAGGGGCAAACCATGGTTATTATTAATGGGGGAGATGGGCTCATGGGGGGTACCCTTTGGGAGCTATCCAAACTGATGTTTTTTATAAAGATTTTAATTAGAAATCGATCATTTGGGGAATAGTTGTTTTTTGAAATTTTCAATGATCAACTTAAACCTGAAGTATAACAATGATGATTAAAAAAAATGTAAAAAACAATTGGAAATAAATAGAATTGGAAATAAAAAATGTTGGATAAAAAAATGGATTTCAGCACTGGTGGTTGATTAATCGGGGGTAGGCCCACCGGTTTATTAATCTGAGGGGACCACCTGTTTTTAAATTACATTTTTTTTGGGGGGCAATGGTGGTTGATTAATTCGGGGGGTATTATTAATCCTCACTTGACATTGTCTATAAATATATATAATATATACATATATACATAATATACATATATATATACATATATATTTATACATATTACATATAGATATATATATATACACATAGATACGCACATATAAAATATATATGTATATTCACTTACAATAATAACAACTAAAATGTTGGTAGTAGTAAAGATAATTCATGGGGTATAAATGGGCAAAATATGTGCTTGATACTGGGTTCATAACAAACAAACGATCAAACAAATGCAGTTTTCTTTTAAAAAAAGGAAAACATTCATCATAATCATAGAATAGTAGGACAAATATACGTATTAACTGGCTGAGGCATGGTTGATTACTGAAGGGTATATTCCCACTCTTACTGGGTATGCGCCCATGGTTGCTGATTTTACAAATCACCCAATGTTTGCTGGTGTTTACCCCCAAGTAGCGCATGTATTGACGGTTATGTCAACATGTTTTGGTTCTATCTCCATTCATACGGATTCACCAATGGTCATATATCGAGGGGGCATACCCTCTGGGAATCAAACATTGCTAGCTGGTGGATTTTCCAACACATCTAGCCCCATAAATCTATTTATATTGGATTTTCCAGCTTGCCATTGCTGGGGGATTCCCCAATATAAATATAAATACCATTTTTAATGACCATTCTTAATGGGTAAATCAACTATTTCTATGGCCATTTTCAAGTTCGCAAACTGTTAGTTTACCAGAGGGTAAATCCCATTATCATCCCACTATTCACCATTGTTAACCCATTAAATCACCATTAAATCACCATTAAATCCCCCATCAATGGGTGTTTATAGCTGGGGATGGGAAAATCATCGAACCATTGGCTGGGGGATTCTCCAGCGCCATGGCGCCATGTGAAAAATTGCCATGGCTATCTGTATCTCCCAATAGGAACAACAAAACACTTTATTTATAGTTCAATTACCATCTATATATATAATTATATAATTATATATATATAGTGTTATATCAATTTATTTGAACTGATTGACCATATTATTGACAATGATTGACCAATGGTAATAACAACAAATACTTCATCGAAGATGTTGCGTTGCATGTGTCTCCAAGTGTGCGGAGCATAGAGGTCTAATCTCGGCATATTTCAAGAATTGAATTGCGTGCGACACTTCAATTCTGATCAGATCTTCCGAGGGCCATGAGTGTAAACGTCAGAACATCCTAAATCATCCTAAATCCAGATTAAATATCCCATGTACATCCCGGACACATCCCAAAAATCCCACCCACAGCTACGAGTAGCATTTTGAAAAAGTGCAGATGGTGATATCAGTTCTATGGCAATGGTACGCGGCGCCCGTGTCTTGTTTTTTTTTTAACCCGCCAACAAGTGGTTGAAAGTAGCCCTTTTCAGTGTTTGCTTGTGGTAAGGACAATGGAATGACTAAAAATTCAACAAACAAATGGATGTCAAGGCATCAAGGCGTCAAGGTCACTAGCAAAAAGGCAAAAAAAGATGCAAAAACAGGGCTTCAGCAGCCTCAATTGGGATATTCAGTGAGAAACCTATCAGAAACTTGAGGCAACCAGCGAATTTCTCGGATCGGGATAGGGATTCACCCAGCGAAGGTTCAATGATGTTCAGTAAAAATGGCGACATCATAAAGGTAACTGATCTACCATTATCATAAGGGTCATTAATCATCATTGATCTATGGTTTTCATCAACAAAACAGAAAACTCAAGTGTGAGTTGCAACCAGCACCACTTTTTTAGCGACATTCGACCCCTTTTACCAGTCGCTTTAAGCGACTGCACTTTGGTTGGGCCGTTGAACCCTTCAGAAGCATCATTTTCTGGCACAAAAAAAGCAGATCATTAAATCAAATCGTTAGGGTTTGCTGATGAATACTGGTTGGTGGTTTTAACCATCTTGAAAAATAGCAGTCAATGGGAAGGATTATCCCATAAATTATGGAAAATAAAAAATGTTTGAAACCACCAACCAGCTACATATAGTGACCAAGAGTTTGGTTTAATAAATGCAATTCAGATCACCAAGAATTATCCAATAAACATGCCAGCTTCGTTCATGAAAAAAAGCGTTTCAGCTCACCAGCAGCCCCAAAAATCCACGCAACATCACGCGAAACATTGTAGCTCAAGAATCAAGTAGTTTTCAAATCATAAAGCTGCTATATATATAATATACATATATACACTTAACGATTCACGCATCATAAAACTAACTCATTTTCCCCATTGACATGGCAAATTTTGGGTCTTCATATCTCCCCATTTCTGGGACCAAATATCACATTTGCTTGTACCTCCCATTGATGTCCTAAGTAAATAATATACAATTTATATTTATGACCCAATTCTTCATCTTCCCCCATGTTGCTTGTATCCCAGATATCCATTGATATATATATATAATATACATATATAAATGTATATATAATATACATAAATATATATATATCACAATTTTATCCCAAGTTTCCCTGCCTCCTGGTTTGCAAATGTGTTTTCAAAATAGGGCTGGTACCACTCGCGTGCCAGTGCGACCTGGAGCTGCGCAGCAGCACGGCTATAAGGTTGGTGGTTGCAACCCATACAATGGGGATATGCAGCAAAAATTAGATTTTTTTGATTTAAGCAACAAAAATGATGGCTTCAACAAGGAAAACTCGGATCTATGGGCTATACACCCACTAGATTTAACATGAAACCCAATATTTATGACTATATCCAATAGGAAAAACATCTTGTAGCCCTCGTAAATTTGTAATCAAACATAGCAATGGACAATCACCAACTTATAGATGATGTTCCCAGCTAGAAACCTCCATTTATATAGAGGATTTTCCAGCCAACCACGTTTGTTGACCGGATGGTATCCGGTTACATATCCAACAGTAAACATTTTTAACACACTATGAATCCATGATTAACCAGTATAAATTATAAACCATATTTTCCGAGGGTTTCCCTATGTGTTTCCAATGGATTAAGTTATTGAATGGTGGTTGCAACGTAACATCCTCCAGCGATGGAAGGAGTCCAGGCGAATGGCGAGACCACCAGGCAAAATTGGCGCTTTACCATTAACTGTATGTTCATGGGATAATCATGGGAATATCAAGACTCAATGCCGATTTCCTTTCATGACTTCTGATTATCATCTTGACAATGGCTAAATTCACAACATAAGAAAAAATAAGAAGAAACAACACTTATGTAGAAATGCGAGATGGGTGTGTCCCTAAGATTCACAACACGCCATGTTCTCTCAAGCATTGTGTTGGTACATCACAGGCAGAATCTCTGCACAAAAAATCATTTGGACCTCCAAGGCACCAAGAAATCTTGTCTGAAACAATGGTAGCCTACAGGATGGGCCCGCCAGTTATGTAAGTTGGTTTATAAACCCCATTAAGTTAACCATAGTTGTCTATACAGTAATAGTTATATCATGTTATATCTACCATAAACCATAGAATTCAGCCACTTGTAAACCAACTGAACGCTATCGAACGGGGGGCCCCATCCTGTAAAACCATGTGAAACCCTAAAATGGTTTTCTGCATCATTTTACCAACGAAAATTGCCCCGATCAATGCCCAGATCATCGCAAGCCAAACATGACGACTCTACACAACAGATGCCAAATGATGGCTAAAAAAAACATAAACAATTCTTCAATTACCATGGGACATTCCGTTGATATATACAATGTCCCATGGATTCATATATATATATGTATTTGCATATAAATCTATATAATACTGTAATATATATATATATATATGTATATATTTCTCAGTTATTGCATGTTCAATGTTCCATTCCAAACATCGCACGCATCTCTTGGGATCGTTGTCCATCTCCTTCAGCTCGTCCATCAAGTCTGCCAGGCTCGACAAGTCCTGCGTCGCGAGATGTCCCAAAAAAACTTGGTTCAAAGAGCGGCCCTAGGCCCCATGATACTAGTTGGTTATGATAGGTTTCACAAATATAACTAGTTGATACTAGTTGGTGGTTGACCTACCCCTCTGAAAAATATGAAAGTCAGATTGGATCATCCCAGCTATAGGGGAAAATAAAAAATGTTCAAAACCACCAACCAGATAATATATATATATAAGTTGTATGTATATATATATATCACCAAAAAACAAGTAGTATAACTTCTTGCAATGACCAATCAACAATGGTATATCGAATAGCTCACATATATTCACATCCCAAGGTGATTAAGGGAGGAACAGCACCCTACTTGATTCCAGGAGGATCGAATAAATGGACTCTTGGTGGTTTCAAGCCGTCAATTGCAGTAAGTCGATTGCGGTAAGTGTCTCACTGATAGACACAGCTCTTATTTTGGGAACGGAATTTCCAACAATTTAAAGATTATATGTAATTATAGTATACAATATATAATTATATATCATACATACACATTGAAACCACCAGATGTTTGACACCAAGATCCAGATTTTTAGCCAATCCCCCGCGTTAAAATATCACTTTTAAAGCAATCCAACTGCACATAGCCAGCATAAATCCATCCATTATCCTGGCTATAAACCAACTTACCTACATGTTACAAGGTAATGCTCCCAAGATAGCTAAGTTGGTTTATGACTCCAATAACTATGGTTTATATATAGGTGATATATGTATAGTTAATGGGGTTTATAACCTACTTATAATTGGGGGCATTTTGTAATTAGCGGCCTATTCTTACAGGAATTAGCTGGAGACATGTTCCGATATCCACATTGCGTTACTCCATTTTTGGTGCTTCAAATAGTTCAATCATGTTAGTTATCTTAGTTAATAACATCTCTAATCTCATATATCCAAATATCAACATCCTCTAAATGGTCCCAAATATGCCGAATGTGTGTAATTTCCCTACAGTACTTTACTAAGCCATGCTTTCCGCGGCCTGTTGAATAGCGGGACAGTGATTACCTTCATATCAGCTGCAAGGGCATCCTTTTATCGAGGGATGCAGCGGGTGGAATGTTTCGGTACGTCCCAGTTCTTCATTGGTTCGATACATATATATATGTATAAATGTATATTATGTACATATATTTATATATATTATGTATATAGACATTATGTGTGTATATATATTATGTGTATATATATAATGTATATATATATATATATACTGTAAAATTATATGATGTATATATAAGGTATATATAATGTATATATATAATGCATATATGTAGTTATATTATGTATAAATATATATATAGAGAAACAAGGGGGAAAACAACCAAACACCGTTATTAAACTCCCTTGTCCCAAGATCGTGCAAACGCCCCCTTTTTGCCATGGGGCGCTTGAGCCATGTAATTACGGTAGACTACTATGACCAACCCTGCTGGATTAAAAGGAGGGGGTCAATACCTACTCTATTACGTGGCTACACCTACAACTAACGCTTCTAGTTGGAGGTTGCGTTGAAATTAAGATGACTGTACAATCTACTGGAGTGTTGGTGTCATAGCTACAGTATGGAGTGAGCTAATACTAGTATATACAGTGGTGGTATAGGGGTCGTAATATTTCTACTCCCCCCTACCCTATCCTACGCTGGCAACTAGTGTACAGGTTAGGGCGCTAGGAAGCTGCCCCTTCCCTGGATTTAAGCTCACTACCTAAGTCTACGCGAATGCCAAGCAAGCGCAGTGCCGGGGCCCACTTTTGGGGTGGCAACGCCTTCGTAAAAATGTCAGCAGCTTGACTGTCGGTCTGACAGTATTCAAGCTCGGCGGAATCGTCTCGAAAGACTTCGGAAAGGCCGGACAGATTTACTTTATGGGTGCGAGTGATGTGCCTAAGCTTAGGGGAGTAACCCTTACGTACTACCAGGATGGTAGCTTGGTTATCTTCTAAGACTCTAAGCGTCACTGTGCGCCCTAGGAGAAGCTCCCAGAGTTGCAGGGCCGGCAGGCCTTCTTGATAAAGGGAATAAGCCAAAGAAACCACTTCTGATTCTGTGGTAGAACGGGATGTGGATGTTTGGCGTTTGCTAACCCACGCAAGAGGGAAGAAGGAGTTAGGCCCATATAGAACTAAGTACCCACCGGACGTGGATGTTCCACTAAGACGATCACCGGCGAAATCGGCGTCAACGTATAAACGTAACTCAAGATCTTCGGGATTATCTTTGATGGTACCCACTAGACGGTATTGGGGTGTAGAGTCTATATATTGGATGAGTCTTAACAACCTCTTATCGTCCCCCCTGGACCAAGACTGCACTTTAGTGGCTAAATCATTAATGGGTTTGATTATGTCAGGTCTGGACAGCCGACCAAGCCACAACGCCTTCATAAGAATGCGGCATGCATTGGGTGCCAGTTCACCTTTAGCCTCTTCATCTTCAACAGAGACAGAACCATCAGGTACAAAAGGAGTGGCAGCATGCTTCAAACTTTTGGTGTTGGTGATGGACTTATAAAGATCAACTGTTTGGTGTGCATAATCTAGCATGTCAAAGACTAAGGCTTCTTGTGCGCGAAACGCAGCACATTCCTCGGAACCCTCGGTTTTGGGCAATGGCATTACTAGATGATTGCGACCTAAAATTCGGTATATTGGTTCAGGTGGTTCAATATCCACAACAGATGTCAGCTTTGCCCAGAAGGCATCATGTTGGTCAGTGGGACCAGCAAGCGTGAGATCATCTACATAGGTGGAAAGCAACAACTTAGTATCTGGGAAAAAGAAGTTACCAGGGTATTCAGGTACCTCTTGGCCACCTAGGTTGCGGATAATTTTCTTTAAGTGCTGCTCCCAAAGGCCACCGGCATCAGGATGACCGTATAAGGCTTTAACTAAGAGGACTACGGGTTTAACAAACTTATCTCGCCAGTGTTTTGGTCTTAGCTCAGGCGGAAGTTCTATCCAGGTCTTGTACTTTGAAGACAGGAGTGCTTGAACGTATGCCTTAACAGCATCAGCTGCGGATGAGCTATTACCTGGCAGGGAACCGTATGCCAAACACGCGTTCAAACCTTGGACCGAAGTCGGGTTTGCCCCTAGCTCCTGGTAGACCGCTGCAGCGCCATGTTCGTCCTTTGCGCAGTCGCCTCGATAGACGATCCTGCCCTTCATCTTTTGCAGGCGCTGCGCAAGCTCGTAGAATTTAATGGACGCTATGGTCATGAGTTGCCCTAAATGAACGGACACTCCTGTGCGCTTGGCCTCGGCGCGTACATCTTCCTTTTCCCGAACGGAATCAAGTGACCACGTTCCCGCCTTGATCAGTCCATCGGCCTCGGCCTTAACAGCATCAAGGGCTTGGGGGTTGGATAACATCTCTGCCCTAGAAAGCAACTTAGTTACCATGGCTTGAACCTCTTTGGAAGGTTCATTGTTATCTTCATGCCCGAAGGCTTGTGACAACAAACGCTCATGGTCTAGAAGCTCCGACACTAAGCAGTTTACTGTTGGATCTGTTTCAATGGCAACTGCAAGATCCTCAAAACCAGCTAGTGGGGACACATGTTTGAGATGTTGTTCAACTTCGCGGTGCTCTTGGGGTTCGGTTGAAAGTGGAGCGCATGGCATTGCGGGAGCATGTTGTTGGGAACACTTAGCAGGGTACAGCGCTTGAGTAATCAAAAATGCCATCTCTGGGGGATACATAGCTGATCGCGCTGTTTCCGAACCTTCACACTTTTCATGTGGTTGTTCACAACTGCACTTTTTATCTTTAAAAACATCTACTATTCTTTGGGAAGTGGTTCGGACTCTCCAAGGCTTTTTGATGGGAACACCTTTCTTGGACTTAAGACCTACTGCACAACCATCGAAATCAACTTCCATAAACTCAGGGTGAGAATTAAAGAAAGCTACGACATCTGGTCTCTTCCAGCCAGTTGAGGGACGTGGCCATTCAAAAGAAACAGTGCCTCCTAGTTTCAAAACTAATTCTGCCCTTTTGGAAAAGCTTTTGAAAAGTCGTTTCGATTCTCGGAGTTGGAGCGCTAATCTTTTCATGTAAGCAGCTCCTCCCCTCCGTCTATTGATATACTGCCAAGGTGAACCAGACGTGCATGGTATGGACGACCAAAGATTAGGTGGTGCAACTTTTGAGGCTTCACCTATTTGATAATCAAGTTGGGAACATTGATTCTCATCACTTAAGTCTATCCTTTCTTTGCATAACCCAATGTGATTTATGTTACATTGCTCACTTGTCAACCCAAGCTGTGAGTTGAGGGAACATGCAAACTCAAACAGTGTTGATCTCTCATTGGACTTCTGGCTTTTCTTCAAGGCACGTCGTTTACGACGGTTATTGTCATTCTTAGGAGGCTGATTAGCTGCGGGGCATGCAGGCACGGGCTGTGCACCGAACACTGGCAAGGAATCCCTACTTAGCTCAGCACGGCTGGGAGCGGTCTGAGGCAAAGTGGCAGCACCAGAGACACTATAAGGAACGGCTACTGTGATTTCACCTTCATCATCAAATATGCCGTCTTCCGGTGGTGGTCCCACGGGGGCATCCTCAAGCGCACTGGGAACTTCGCTAGGAGGTTCGGCAACTGCCGACTCTGATATGGGCTTTGACTTGGCTTCCAGCTCCTTTTCTTCATCAACTAGTTTCTGGAACCGTTTGCGGCACTCTGCATTATGGTACCGAGTCTTATTCTTACACCCTGTACAACCGGGAGTCTCCTTAAACTTTATGATGCGGTCTAAGGTGATATAAACCGATCTAGGTTTGGGACCGGGTGTAGCTGGGGAAGCTAAACCGCCGTCTGGTGGAAACGGAACATTTTGCAGGGCTATTTCAGGAAGTTTAACATCATCGGGATCATCCCCCCTGATCAAGGCCTGATGCTTCGAAAAACCGACGGGAAAATAGGCATCACCATCTGGAAGGTATAGTTCA